GATGGTGACTACAGCCATGAAATTAAAAGACGTGTGCTCCTTGGAAGAAAAGCTGTGACCAATGTAGACAGCATATTAAAAAGCAGAGACATTACTTTGCCAACAAAGGTCCATCTAGTCAAAGCTACGGTTTTTCCAGTAGTCATGTATGGGTGTGAGAGTTGGACTATGAGGAAAGCTGAGCATTGAAGAACTGATGCTTTTGAACTGTGGTGTTGGAGAAGACTCAGAGTCCCTCAGACTGCGAGGAGATCAAACCAGTCAATCCTAAAGGAAATCAGTCCTGAATATTTATGGGAAGGACTGATGATGAAGCTGAAACTCCAATACTTTGGCCACCTGATGCGAAGAGCTGACTCACTGAAAAGATCCTAATGTGGGAAAGATTGAAGGCAGGAGGAAGGGGACAGGATGAGTTGGCTGGATGGCATCACCGACTTGATGGACATACATTTGAGCAGGCTCTGGAAGTTGGTGATGGACAGGAAAGCATGTTGTGCTGCAGTCCATGGGGTCGCAAGGAGTCGGACACGACTGAGTGACTGAACTGAACCATTAAATGTAAGATGTTTCTGAGATGTTAATGTGGGGGAAAAAAATCCAAACCAAAATCCTGCATCTTGAAGTAAAATTTGAAATAGGCTATTTCTGAGTCAATCACCTACAATATTTTCTGAGGATTCACTATATGCTCAGTAGTTCCAAGTTTCAAGGGTGCTTCAGCTGCTTGGAAAATACATCAACAACTTGGCAGAGCAAAGCCTTGCTCCACCTGCCCTCCTCCTTTCCAGGAGAACCTCAACATTGTTCAGCTTTCTTCCCTTCTTCGTATGTCCAGGTAGAATGGATCAGGGAGGGGAACCACAAATGTTTAGACTTGATCAAGTTTCCTTTTCTTTGGCTAGTGACTAATCAGATGAACTCTAAGGAAGGTTCTCCTCATTGATAAATAGAGACATATAAAATGAAATAATGTTCCACTAAACCCAGAATGTTATTCTGATTCTGTATGAAGTCTGGAACTGCAGCAACCACCTTGCCATCCTGAGGGGAGCTAAGTCAACTTGCTTAGAACCGCAGAGCAGAAGAAAGGGGAATGGAGGTGAGGGAAACAGGTTCTTGGTGATATGACTCTCATTGAGAGTGAGAGTCTGAAAGACTCTGCGACCCCGTGGGCTGTAGCCCACCAGGCTCCCCCATCCCCTGGATTTCCCAGGCAAGAATACTGGAGTGAGTTGCCATTCCCTTCTCTAGGAGATCTTCCCGACCCAGGGATCAAACCCAGGTCTCCCACATTGCAGGTAGATTCTTTACCATCTGTACCACCAGGGAAGCTCTGATGACATTAAGCAGCTAAATTTTCCAGCCTTGATACTGTCCAACAAGAGCTAGGTGAGACTTCCTGTTAATACAAGACAGTAAATCTTCCTACTGCTTATACTGTAGGAAGCAAGTTACACTGGGGTTTTGCAAGTTCCATTAGAAACTTTTTAATTGACATACCAAAAGGGATCAGCAATGCTGGAGGATCAGACTTTGTATTACTCTTAGACAAGGTACCAGTAAGGTTTGTAACAGGCACACCACAGCTTTTCCCTGGGACAGGGACAACCCTGACTTAATTGAAAGGGACTGTGCTAATTCAGTAGAACTCAATCACACAGTCTCCAGTTTTAGATAGAACAAGGAAGAAACTGGTCTACCTATGGAATTCTGTAGGGTATCAACTGGGAAGGACAAGATTTTTGGAACACAGGCATTAACCAGGAGATTATACAAGGTTGTCCCATATGATCCCAGTTAGAAAGGAAAAGGTCTGTTGATGACTGTCATGTCTAAGAAATGTCACTTTTTATTGACCCTCAGGAACATTTAAGAGACTGCTTTAGTTGTCCCAAATTCCCAGCTAGTAACAAAAAGAATGCCTTATTTAAAGTTTCTTCAAACAGCTTGGCAGTAGGGAGGAGAAAGAGGAGGAGAAAGACACCAATTTACAGTGACCTGGCACAGAAAATGTTCTTTTAGGCATTCTGCTCAAGAATAAAGAGCCCTGTTTTTCCTAAGCACAGATACCAGACTACCTCACTCAACTTTTCACCAAGGCTTATAGGTGTGAAAAGTAAAGGTTTCTTGAAAACTGGCTCCTGCTGCTGATAGAATAATACCCACAGCAGTAAGTAAGAACCTATTCTTCTCTCATAAAGCAAATTCCAAAAGGCACAGAGCTCCTTTAGTTTACCTAATCCCTTCCTGCAGTCTCCTTACTGCTGAGCCTGGGATTCCAGTGGTAAATAAACTGTTCAGCAACAAACTGCAGTGGTGGATTTTCTTGGCACTATTGACTTGCATGTTTACAGCAACTTTTCTTACTGCGTTCGAGGTGCTCTGCATCACTGCACACTCCTTACCTAAGAAGAAGGTGTTGCTGAGAAACACTGCCAGCACTAAACCTGAGGTTCAAGGACCTGAAAGTGCATGTGTTCCCAGTCGCTCAGCTGTGTCTGACTCTTTTTTGACCCCAGACTGTAACCGCCAGGCTCCTCTGTCCATGGAATTTTTTCCAGGCAAGGATACTGGAGTGGGCTGCCATTTCCTCCTCTGAGGGAATGTTCCCGCCCCAGGGATCAAACCAGAATCCCGCACCTCCTGCACTGCAGGTGGATTCCCTACTTCTGAGTGCACAGGCGACTCTAAATGTGGCCAAGCAAATGACTTGCTCCAGTTTAGGATAAGCTGTTAACAATCACCTTTAAAAAAAGAAATGAAATGAAGCTAATGTCAAAACTTATGGGGTTTTTTAGGGCTGGCTAGCTATTTATATAGAAAAATTGAGAAATGTGAAGTTATGAGATGAAGGCTGAAATTTAAAAGTGCAAGTCATCTCTCACCGAGTTTAATTTAACAGGCTTCTTACCATCTTTCTGTCCCCAGAGTTCCACACCCCATCCCCAGTTTCCAGCACAACCAGAGTAGGAATTTTAAAACATAATTTTATTATCTCACTTCTTGCTTAGACCCCATTCAAAGGACAAAGCCCAGATTCTAGCTAGACGCACAGTGTAACTCTCCATGATCTGGCCTCTGCCTCCACTCTGGGCTCACCTTTCACCAGTCTTCACCTGGCTCGTACTAATTCATGCTCATCCCTAAGGATGGTCTTTCCAAGGGTGGACTAGACTAGTAGAGAGGATTTCCCAGGCAAGAATACTGGAGTGGGTTGCTATTTCCTTCTCCAGGGGACCTTCCCAATGCAGCAACTGAACCCACATCTCCCGCACTTGCAGGTGGGTTTTTCACCACAGAGCCACGAGGGAAGCCCACGTATTAGCTGAGCTCCCTACATATGCTATCGCAGCACTCATCATTTCATATTTTAATTGGCTATTAACTAGTCTCTCAACACCTGACCAGGGGTATTCAACTGCTCTCTCTGCTCCCCTCCACCAGCAGTAACCCATACCCAGCACCCCTGAGATGTGGGATGTGTAACTGTAACCCACTCCCAGGTGTAACTATAACCCACTCTGGCAAGTGATTCTTAAGGTTCACCCTGGTTCGAGTTTTCACCTCAGTCAGTGGTTCTCAGCTGGGGGAGATTCTGCCTCGCAGGGGACATGTGGCAATGCCTGAGACACTGTCTGGCTACTGTAATCCAGGGGAGGTACTACTGCTACCCAGGGGTTACAAGCCAAGAAAACTGCTGAAGAGACTAGAATGCAAATGGCAGGCCCCGAATACAAAGAATCCCCTATTTCAAAATGTCAATGGCATCAAGGCAGAGAAACCGTGAACTCAGCAGTAAGTTCAGGAATTACTTTATCACCAGCATCAGAACAATGCCAGACAAATTAGAAGCATTTCACAAATGCTGGATAAACAAGAGCCTATAATTAAAGCATATGCTGTTAACAATTTAAGTCATCACAATTTATAACCAGTATGTATAAACAAATGGAAACTAGCTAATCCCTACTAGCAAATCACTATAGGTCCTTTCTATAAAGATCAACTTAATATATTTTTCCTTTTGTTTTCAAATCAACACTTCACTCTAAAAATCCTTTCTATTTAATCTCTTCTACCGAAATAATGCTGCCTACCACAGGAGCACCAAGATAGAAGACCAAAATGATTAGTGTTCTTTAAAACTGAAAAACCTGAAAATGCTAACACCCACACACTCTCTCACAGGGCAGTCAGAGGTAGATGCTGGCACCTTTTATCATATGCTCTGAGCTACAATTCATCAAGCATTGAAATTCAAATGAATGCAGAGGTTGTACATGGCGGTTTCACAGAGAAATGAAAGAAATTTCAATGTCAAATATTATTAATAAAGTTGACATGCTTTTCTGCTCACATACAAAGGACAAGCAAGGGCAACACACAGAGCCTTGTTTCAAGCACCATCTGTTAACTCAAAATTACAAAGTCTTCTATGCTTTAAGATAAAGAATAATGAACCTGAAAGAAGTTGTAAATGAATATTAGAAATGTAACTGAGAATGAACTGGCAGAACAGAAATCAGTTACCATAAAGGATTTTTCAAGTGCTTAAAGTTTGCAATTCTTCTAAAAGAGCAAAGCAACCTACAAACAATTATCAAGACTGACTTAAAAAGACAAAGCATGTTTTTCCCATAAGACACAGAACATATCCAATGTCATCTTTCATATCTAGAAAAACTTCAATGCCTCCTCATGTAGGTAGCATAACACATTTAATGAATGAGCAAATGAAGTATCTGCAGATATTCCCCTCGAAACTGCCCCTTCTAGTAAGATATATCCTTTTACGTAGTCAACTATTTTGCCTTCCCCTGTAATTCATGTCCTAGTGAATCAAACTCAGTGGCACAATGAATGCTATTTTCAGATGAAGCATGTCAAATAGTAGGTAAAGCCTCAGTAACTGTTTTATTAAACCAACTACTCCTCACCACTACCAAAAAGAGATGATTATTCCACTTCCCTCCAGTTACGACTTTCTCATGCCTTACCGTCCTCTGGGGCAGCTGAAGCTCCTTCAGGTAGAACAGGTTGTAACTCCCCAGTTTCTGAGTTATTTTCCACATCAGTCATTTGCATTCCTTCCAGATGACTTCCTTTAGCATTAGTCCTCAAAGAGGGAGAAAATGACCTTATATTTTTGTATAACTAGTCAGTGATATGATAATCTAGATTCCTTCCTTCTGAGCAAACTAATAGCGTATGGAACACCAGAGTTTAATACTAAATTTCAAGTTTTACTTTTAAAAGATTCACTCACAATGAAAGGTTATAAAGTGGTAGCTTGCATCAATGTCAATATCCTGGCTGTGACAAAATGTCAGCATTTTGCAAAATGTTATCATTAGGGGAAACTATGTAAGGTACACAGGCTCTCTCTATCCTTTCTTATAATTGCATGTGAATCTACAATTATCTCAAGAATTCCAATTTAAAAACAGAAATGGAAGTCCTAAATAATACGTCCTTACCAACACAGACATAAGAGAACAGAATTCTGGACCTGGCTGGCGGGGGAGGAGGGAAAGGGTGGGACAATGGAGAGAGGGACATGGAAACGAACATTACCATATATAAGAGAGACAGCCAACGGGAATCTGCTGTATGCCTCAGGGAACTCAAACTGGGGCTCAGTAACAACCTAGATGGACGGGATGGGGAGGGATGTGGGAGGGGTGGTAAAGTGGGAGGGGACATGGGTGAACCTGTGGCTGATTCACATTGATGTTTGGTAGAAACTAACACAATAATGAAACAATAAGCCTTCATTTAAAAACAACTAAAATATGGAGAAGGAAATGGCAACCCACTCCAGTACTCTTGCCTAGAAAATTCCATGGATGGAGGAGCCTGGTGGGCTACAGTCCATGGGGTTGCAAAGAGTCAGACACGACTGAGCAACTTTTCACTTTCACTCTCACTTGCTAAATACAATGGTGGTTCTGATTATTGCACTTAAAACTGGGATGTTGGACTCTATTTTCAGTATTCTGTTAAACAGTAAAGTACTGTGTAGATAAAATGATAAAAAATATCGTTACCAAGAAAAAAAAAAAAACAATAACAACATGTTCTCACCTATATGGAAAGACTTTTAAGGTATACTGAATGAGAAAACAAGGTGTACCATTTTTATTAGAAGAAAACTATATGGTTGCAGTTATTTAAATATGCATGAAAACTGAGAAGACACAGCATATATAAAAAATCAAAAACAGCAGGAATGTGTGTGGGCAGGGGGTTGGAAAACAAAGCAGATGGGAAAACTTAATATTCTTTTTAACTTCCATCTTGAACCATTTATTATTAGTATTTAAAATTTTTGCTTATGTTACCTTAAATCAGGCAAGGAAAAAAAGACACAAGATGGAAAACATCACATGAGCCAGGCTGGCAGTATAATTAACCATAAAATGAGGGTTACAGCTATGAGCTTTACACAATTATAAAGGATTTTACAGTCTACAAAAACTATACATTCGTACACATTTAATCTTTATGACTAAAGAAAGATATAAACCTCTGTAACAAAATATAAAAGCTAGTTACAGCTTTTATCTTAAAAGGAACCTGTGTGAAACCAGACTAGGAAGTGGGAAGGACAAGACAATCTCCAGTGATTATCACATGTTCTCCCTGCTTAAACCTGCGCTAAAGCAGAAAACAAAGCCACCAGCTGTCCTTTTAGATCTGGTAATTATTCAGATCTAAAAACTCTATGAAACAAAGTAAACTTAAGGGATATTAATCTTTCTCTAAATTTAATTCAAAGTTCTTTTCAAAGTCTCCAAGGTAAAACTATTCCATTGTTTAAAATTAGAAGTGATACTTAATAGCCATAAAATAGATCAGCAGATGGACACTAAAGGCTCCTCTGCACATTCACAGACAATACACTCCATATTTACTCTCTTAGGCAGATGGAAGTTTAACTGACATGACTGGGATTTGAGTTCATGTTTCCTGGGAGAGAAATAAAGGTACTAATGACCATGTATATATACCTTTTCGGGAAATTCCAACTATGTATTTTGAAGACACTTTCATAAAAGAAAAAATGGTAAGATGAAAGCAGAAAAGCAGTGGTAAAATTAAATTGTTAAAAGGTCTCTGTTCCACCCAAATTCATGTAAAGCCACAATAAAGTCCAGCACAAATGTGTGTGAAAAGCATGGGACAGATGGGGAAGAAAGGTGACACAGAACCTCACAATAAAGAGGTCACACAAGGTTATACAACATTATTATCCTAACTTCAGTGAAAAGGAGTTCTAACTTACTCAAACTGAACTTCTGCTACTATCTCATTCAGTTTAAGAAAAAAGGAAGATCTCTGATACTTTAAAAGTTCCTTTTTAATACAATAAATAAATAATCTGCTAAAAAATTAACATAGTAGAAATTTACTTTATTACACTGTAGATTTAAAAGTGCCAACCAAAGCTATTAGCTATTATTCTATTATATAAACAAAAGAACTTCATTTACCCCAAGGTGACCATTTTTCTTCTTTTTTCAACAACAGGTACACCATTGAAAACTGCAACCAAAACAGCATCTGAATCCAAAGCTTGACACTGCCGATCTTCAGATTTCGGCAGAATGTCACTGATACTGACATGGGTCAAGGCTCGGGGAGAACTGTGCCTGCTCCCAGACTGAGAGCTTCCTGGGGAGACTACAAAAAAGGAAGGGTATATTCAGAAGGCAGGCAAACAAAAAACAGTTCTCTCTCTAGTTTCCACTTACAGTATGTTAGTCACTAAATCGTGTGTGACTCTTTGCGACCCCACTGATTATAGCCCACCAGGCTCCTCTGTCCATGAATTCTCCAGGCAAGAGTACTGGAGAGGGTTATCATTTCCTTCTCCAGGGAATCTTCCCGACCCAGAGATCGAACCCTGGTGTCCCACACTGCAGTCTTCACTTAGGAGATCTCATTATACATAAATTTTTAAACTGCAGGAAAACTCAAGAAATTCTTAAATGTTCCCCAGTCTTTTTGATGTCAGGTATTTAAAACTCAGGAGTCCAGAATATGAAGTCTGATGGCTGCACTTTCTTACTGATGGGTCTGTTCTGTTATGTGATCAAGGAATTTTCAACCTGAGTTTCAGCATTTTTGGTGCCTTTAAAGCAGCTATACCATAAGATCAGTTTCAACAGACATCTATCTACCAAAGTTACATTTTGAACTGTCCAAACTTACCTTCAGATAGAGTCTGGCAGTCTCCCTTGGAACGGCTATTTTCCCCAGAGTCTACTGCTCTTCGAAGAGACAGACTACCTGCTATACTGGACCGAGCAGGCTTGGGCGAATGACTCTTCTTATTTGTGGCTGCAGAGACATTTTAAAACATTTCTGATTATGATAAAATGGCACAAAACTTACTACCTAGGCGACCAGAGAAAGGTTTTATCTTACCATAAATGGAAGGAATTCCCATCTACTGTGTCCAAAGATAAATAGAACACTCTGGTCCCAATTGGTTTATTTGGGGTTTTATGCCAAAAACATTCCTATTTCACTGCTGGTGTTCTTACAAAAGTAGAAAATTATCAGTGAACTCCAAAAGAAAAATCATATCAGTTTAAATTCCAAACAAACTCCAATCTCAATTCTATTAAACCAAGTACCAAGAACAAAACAATAACCATCAAAGCACTTGGAAACAAACATTATTGGGTTAAAAATAAATCAATGCTGAATTAGAAACAAACCACAATTATAATACTTTAAGATGTCTGTGGCTAAAACAGTAATTAGAAGAAAATGTATAGCCTTAAAATGAATTAAAAGAAAACAACCTGAAACTAAAGGACCTAACATGCATAGACTCAAGAAGATGGAAAAAAAAAAAAAAGAAAGCAGAAGAGATGCATTAAAAGGTAACGAACAGGTTCAATAAGGTAGCAGGATATTAGATCAATAACCAACTGACTTTTTATACAGCAGTAAAGAATAATCTGAAAATGAAATTAAGAAAACAATTCCATTAACAACAGCATCAAATAGAATAAAATACTTAGGGAAAATTTTAACAAAGAAATGTAAGACCTGAACGTGGAAAACTATCACACATTGTTGAAAAAAAATAAAGAAATGAGGGAAAATACTGTGTTCATTAACTGGAAGACTCAATACCGCTAACATAGCATTATTCTCAAACTTGATCTACAATACAGATTCAACACAATCCCTATAAAAATTTCAGCTGTCTTTTCGTGGTTGATGTTGCCGATATTGACAAGCTGATCCTAAAACTCAGAGAAAAATGAAAAAGATCCAGAATACTTCAAAGCAATCTTGAATTGAGGACTCACTTATATAATTTCACAACTCTGCTGTAAAACTACAGTATTCAAGTATTCTGAGCTACCACGGAAGCCCATTTATACCAGGAAGTTGGCTTCCCCGGTGGCTCAGATGGCAAAGAATCTGCCTGCAGTGCAGGAGACCTGGGTCCGATCCCTGGGTCGGGAAGATCCCCTGGAGAAGGAAATGGCAACCCACTCCAGTATTCTTGCCTGGAGAATCCCATGGACAGAGGAGTCTGGTGGGCTGCAGTCCATGGTATTGCAAGAGTCAGACAGGACTTAGCAACTAAACCATCACCACAACCTCTAACCTAATTACAGGAATGAGACCATGAGGCAATTTAATCCAACTTCTGACTTTTCCTCTCCTGAATGCATTCCTTGTCTTGCTGATTCTTTCCCTAGATAAAAGAAGAATGAAGAATTAAGCAGTTGAAAAACTGACTAGCTCTCTATTTCCAATCCCTAGAGGAGGCAAGGGCAGTGTTCCTGCCTGGAGGAGCCCCATGGACAGGGGAGCCTGGCGGACGACAGTCCATGGGGTAGCAGCGAGTCGACTGAGCGACTAGAGCAAGCTACTTTCAGTGGCGTCCCCAAGCCATCTTCGATCACTTGGGAAAGATATTGATAAACCTGAAGAGAGAGGCAGCCAATCTGCATGCTGTGAGAATGATGCAGAACCCAACCTCCTGCCTCAGTATACTGAGATTCTCCTCCCAACACCCATATTTTTCCCTTTAAAAAAACTGTCACAGCTGAGCACATGCCTTGGACTTGGTCTTTGGACACAAGTCCACCAACTCCTCAAACTGCTGGTTTTTCTGGTTAAAGCCATCTTTTCTTTCTACTGACACTTGCCCCTCAAATTATTGGCTTTTAAGCAGTGAGCAGCCAAACCTAAGTTCAATAATAAGGGGAGTGATGAAAATGTCCTAGACTTGGATAATGGTGAATGTCACAAAACTGTAAATATAATAAAAACTGATGAATTGTACATTGAGGGGGGGAAGATGCTGTGAGAAAAAATTATGACCAATTTCTTCACTGCAAAGTAAACATGAACTATCAGTTAAGAAAAGAAAATGAAGAGATGCATTAACAGAAGTGAAGGCAAAAATTAACATAATAAAAAGACAGACACCACTCTCAAGGCAGAAAGCGAAGAGGAACTAAAGAGCCTCTTGATGAAAGTCAAAAAGGAGAGTGAAAAAGTTGGCTTAAAACTCAACATTCAAAACACTAAGATCATGGCATCCGGTCTCATCACTTCCTAGCAAGAAGATGGGGAAACAACGGAAACAGTGACAGACTTTGTTTTCCTGGACTCCAAAATGCCTGCAGATGGTGACTGTAGCCATGAAATTAAAAGACGTTTGCTCCTTGGAAGAAAAGTTATGACCAACCTAGAGAGTATATTAAAAAGCAGAGGCATTACTTTGCCGAACAAGGTCCGTATAGTCACAGCAAAGAGGTTTCTCCAGTAGTCATGTATGGATGTGAGAGCTGGCTAATAAAGAAAGCTGAGTGCCGAAAAATTGATGCTTTTGAACTGTGGTATTGGAGGAGACTCTTGAGAGTCCCTCGGACTGCAAGGAGATCCAACCAGTCAATCCTAAAGGATATCAATTCTGAATATTCATTGGAAGGACTGATGCTAAAGCTGAAGCTCCAATACTTAGGCCATCTGATGTGAAGAACTGACTCATCTGAAAAGACCCTGATGCTGGGAAAGATTGGAGGCAGGAGGAGAAGGGGATGAGAGATGATGACATGGTTGGATGGTATCACCAACTCGATGGATATGAGTTTGAGCAAGCTTCGGGAGATGGTGAAGGACAGGGAAGCCTGGCGTTCTACAGTCCATGGGGGTCACAAAGACTCAGACACGACTGAGTGACTGAACAACAAGAAGAAGATGAAATAAATCTAAGAACTGGGTCTCTGAAAAGATGAATAGAATGGACAAGCTTCTAGCAAGTCAAGTCAAGGGAAAAAATAAGAAAACACAAATAAGCTATGATATAACAAAGTTAACATCCCATATGCAGAAGGAGTTTTTAAAATTTAAAGGAACAGAGTGACTTTATCCCAGTACATTTATCTAATAAAATGAATTTGCTAGGGAAATTAATTATGAAAATTGATATAAAAAGCAGAAGAAATATGAGGACACCAGTAAACAAACAGAAATGAAAAAGGCTTTTAGAAGTTTTATTCCCAAAAGAATTACTCAATAGTTTTATAGATGAATTTCATTACACTTTTAACAAACAGATGTCATGTTAAAATAATTTCTCAGCATAGAAAAGAACAAAGGCTTCTGAATCTTTTCTATGAGATTGGCATAAAATCACAACTAAAATATGTTAATGATAGAATAATGAAACTATAGCTCAATTTTACTTATTTACTACATATTCAAGAACCCTAAGAATTAGGTGGGACTTCCTGGTGGTCCAGTGGTTAAGATTCCCCATTTCCACTGCAGGGAGCACAGGTTTGATCCCTGGTTGAAGAAGAACTAAGATCCCACATGTGCAAAGAACAAGGGGATAACTTTATAATCAGTCCTCCTATCAGTAATTCAGCATCCAAAGACTCAACCAACTGTGGATTTACTGAAAACAATCTGTGGATAGGACCATATAGTGCAAACCCCTGTTGCTCAGAGTCAACCGTATACTAAAAAATTACAAACCACAACCAAGTAGAAAGACTCATTCTAGAATTCCATGAATGGTCAGTATTAAATAACGTAATTTTCTGTGTTCACAAAGTAAAAGGGCAAAATATGATTATTTTGACAGATGACAAACAAGCATTTGATATCATTTGATACAACTTCTTGACTTAGAAAAACTCTCAGTAGGTAGTGTTGACTGAAAAACAATGTACAACCTTAAAAGTTGAGAATTATGTTTTATTTGGCAGAGTTTCTGAGGACTTCTGAGGGACTACTCTGAAGAGTCAAGGGAGGAAAAATATAAGGGTTTTTGCGTAACTGGAACATCAAAAGATGACAGTTAATTAAAAGATATCACAAGTTAATGAATTCACTTTTCGACACATGGGAAGATGCAAGAGTCTGAGCTCACTGAAATCATTCCTTTAATATGCACTTCAGAAATCTAAGGGCTTCCTAGTAGCTCAGCTGGTAAAGAATCCACCTGCAATGCAGGAGAGCCTGGTTCGATTCCTGCGTCAGGAAGATCCACTGGAGAAGGGATACACTACCCACTCCAGTATTCTGGCCTGGAGGATTCCATGGACTGTATAGTTCATGGGGTTGCAAAGAGTCGGACACAGCTGAGCAACTTTCACTTTCACTTCACTCAGCAATCTAGGGCCAGTATCCTGCTCTTTCTCATCCACAGTTCCTTTAAGACTCTCCCATTCTGAGTTCCCTCAGGAAGGTGTAGTGGCTTGAAGGCTTAGAATAGTATCTGTAATAATAAACACTTTGTAAATGTTAGCCATTATTGCAGTTAGGAAAAGAGTATCTTTTTCAACTCTATAAAAACTACCTTTTGAAACATATAGCAAAATTTGAACTTAATGAGATAAAAACTAAGGAATTCCTAAATAGAGTTTAAAACATTACAAAAATTCTCTAATTGCTATAAGTTAACATCATTCCAAGGTCCCAGCTTATATAATACAATATGAAAAGTAAATAAGCAGGAAAGGAGTGGATAAGCTATGACTTTTGCTGATGATATGACTATATACTTAGGAAATTCAATATAATTGACTAAAAAACAGACTTAAAAAAACTAAGTGGGCTAAACACAAAACAAACGTATTGAAACCAACAGTCTTCCTATATACATCAATAACCAACAATTAGAAAATATTACAGAAGGAAAAAGTGATCCTATCACAATAGAAACCTAAATTGTTAATATATCTAGAAATTAACATTAAGACATATACAGAACTTATATGAAGAAAAGTAAAACTCTGAAGAAATATGTCTATAACAGAAAATTACTGTTAGTCGCTCAGTTGTGTCCGCCTCTG